AACCCAACTGTTCCTGTAATGAACAATGTGTAGAAAAAGAACTCCATCAGGAAGAAACCTCTAACAGAACCAGACCATCTGCTTTGACTGGTTGGGGTGAGAGGAGAGGAGGGTGGAATGGTTGAAGGGAAGAGAGAGCACAATTACATTATTGAGATAAACACGTTTACGTAAATAAGACAAACTTTCTCATTAAGAACTGAGCGAACTCACACGCAGATATGTGAAGATTCACATGCCTGGAGAGATCATAGATGTAAACTGGTGTCAATCCAATGCTTTAAGAACATCAACAGTACTATACACCTAAACACACATCAACTGAACTCAACACTATTAGAATGAAAACCAACAGTCACTGCAATACAAAGAATAATAAGGAGAAAGAGAACCGTATAATCCATAAATTAATACAGCATATTAGTGATTTATTTTACAGGATTATTAGATTTTTCTATGATCTTGAAAGTTAAATTACATAAAATTCGGTGTAAAAAATTAATAAACACATTGCTGAATAAATGGATTTGTAGTTTAGCAACTTTTGCTACTAGACTCTCTTTTTTGTTTGTTTACAATGGATGAATAACATTGCTTCATGGTTTATAATGAGATGTACAAACCCACATATTGGTGCAATGTTTGGTGTCTACAGAGTCAATCGGTTCAAGAAGAGAAGAGTAAAAGAAAGGGAATATCTCAGTGAGTTACCCACTAGTCTAAGTGTGTGAATCAATCAATAGTAAATGGATCTGCTTCACTTCCCTGCAGATCCATTATTGACTAAATGCTGTGTATTCTCTCTCAGCGTCTGTCTCCCTTTCACAATCACTGAGACGTCTCCACAACGCCAGCTACCGTTCGTACACTGTAGCCTGTAATTGTAAAATAGATCCCAGACATGATAACTGTTAATGTAAGGACCGGCACAATTAATGTCAAATGACGCATTCAATTCCTTTTTAGTGTCTTTTTAATTACCAACATAATTGCTGTGATGGAATGAGGAATCCCAACACGCAGGGTCTAAAACTGGAGCGTGCTGCACGCAATAATTAGGTTGAAGCGTCATGGAGTCAATCTTCATGTCACACTCATTCACTTAGTGCATCTCACAACTGAGAGTCATTTTGTTGGGGTCTCATCTCACCAAGGACATCTTGATTAAATCTCCATCTAATGTTGTTTTCAGTCCCCTGATCTATGACCTGCAAGGACTGATTATGAAAGCCGTTTTTTCAGCTAATGTTATTAGCTAAAGGTGCTTAATGCATCCTCATGATCTCACTGCCTCAGTGGTTTTGTGGAAGCTGATGTTGCTTTACGAATATGCTCTGAATGTTTTTCTTGTGTGTGACAGATATTGTCTCTCAGGACGCCACAGCCACCTTGAAGGTTCTTTACGCCTTGTTCAAGAAGCACAGAGAGAAATGAGAGGCGCTCAAGAGAAGAATTCAGGAGCTGGAAGTAAACACAGAGCTGAAGAAGGTGGAGTGATTGACCGGCTTCATCTGTCATCTGTAGCAAATACTGGAAATGTTCTTATGCAAAGGGTGATGTTGACTTTTGTTGATCCTCTCACCCAAATTTTTGCAAGAGGCTTAAGTAGCCTTTACCAGTCAATCGTAATCTACATAGAGGGCCACAGCGTTTATGGAAACAAAATATTGGAGCAAAGCTGATTAAAATCTAAGTTTATAGACTTGACGTGAATATTTAAAAACATGATTTTCTTGAAAACACACAGACACCATCGGCAGCTGTTATCACAAACACTTCAGACATCTTCGTCAGTGTCTTCTACATGTGTGTCACAGCTTTTTCACCTTTAGACATTTGTCTCAAGGTCGTGCGTTAGAAGTGTCACCAACCCCCCCACTCATTCACAGTGAATCCAGCGGGGATCCCCCCCCCCACTGTCTTCACACGTCGAATTCTCTTGACTGTCTATGGACGTAGGAGGCCAGGCGAAGACAGTCTGCAGAAACTGTGAAGCATTTCACTCAGGCATTTGCGTTCACACATGCACCTCAAGCAAACCTATTGTCTTTTTTAAAAACATATTTTTCTTCACGATCTGTCACCGCTCATGTGTTGTGGTTATTCTTGGTTATTTGCTGGAGTTTTCTCAAAAAAACAATGTGCGTTTCTTTTCCCTCTGCTTCTTTCATGTGTTGCTGCCAACAGTCTGTTACCTCCTCTAGTCTGAATGCTATTGTCATTTATAGATAGCATTTTCTCCCATCCAATTGCATGTCGAAAGAGTGCCGCACACGGAGGGAGGTACTGAAAAGGAAAGACAGAAAAAATAGCGGTGGTTCCATCAAACCATATTATATAAATGATGTGTTGAATTAAAAAAATGTTGATCAGAAAATGTAATCACCTCCTGTGTGGTAAGGAAGTGTAGTTGAAAAGAAAGTTACTTCCTTTGTCTTAAATAATGATAGAAAAATACCACTGCTTCTCTGGACATTGTGTGTGTGTGTGTGTGTGTGTGTGTGTGTGCATTAGCATAAAGTTCATTCTTTGTTTTTGTCTGAAGGTTAATGTATGAAATTTGGGCAACAGCAATAAACAGCAGCAGTAAACTGTTTTACGCTTCTTATTCCCTCCAGTTTTCTTACAGATCTGTTTGTTGACATTCTCACATTAATTCATATTTCATTACCCCTGACATTTCAAAATGTTTATATCCATATATCACAATATAGCTCTCTCATTTATTTGTGTCATTGGTAGATAGATAGATAAAGAGACAACGGAGCCTTTAAACTGAATCAGTAATCATTTTTTATTATGTGTATTTCAGACATAACTGACAACATCATCCTTTATCTGTCTTATTAGAGTTAATACTGTGAATACTTGTACTTTTAAGCCTGTGATCGGGATTTGATCCCAATTATAACATTTATGAAAAATGTTCAACCATTATGAAACAAGCTGGATTAATCATATTATCATCTATGTCTATGTGCAAGCATTTGACTGACATTTTCAATAATGGACAGTGTGACAGTGAATGTAAATCAAATAAGATTAATGTCTTTTAGCCACTATAGGTATTAATAAGGTCAGAGCTCTGTCTGTCACCAATTTCTAATCCATTAGAACACACAAAGATAAAATCCAGGATTTATCTTCAGGGGATTAAACCTGTTCCGCTCCAATGACAACACCATCTTCTTCTCCCATTAGGACGACACAGCACCAGCACTAACTCCTCAACATTGTATCAGCTACTGTATGAATAAAGAAAACATATACCTATTATCCAGCAAGGGATGAAAACATTTTTAAATAATACAACAGACTGTTTTGAGGCTACTGTGAGAATCTTCTATTGTCTGGAGTGATGATTTAATGAAAACAAATGGTCTCTCTGTGCACAGAGACCCAGTGGACAAATAGAGTCCGTCCGACGTGTTGACAGGAAACATGAGTAATCTCTGCCTCCTTTGTCACACAGAACAGATGCATCCCTGTTCATGATGAGGAGCACAGCCAACAGAGCAGAGGAAAAACTGGTGGCTACTCTGCTGCTGCTGCTGCTGCTCTGCTGTGTTTATTTTAGTTATCAGGGTAATAAGAGAATAAGACTCAAATTTCAAGAGACTTGATCCTAATTCTCGTACTTCAGCCAAAATCCTTACTAACTTGTGCTTGAGGCAGTCAAAATGTCTGAAGGGATTGCAAAAAGCAATTTATCATCTGTTCCTAACAAAAACACAGATTTGGATTACTGGCTGACTTTTTTAGATCTACCTCTGAATTGTCTTTAAATGAGAATCATGCAAATGATATCCACTAAATTATTACACACACAACATTGTGTTAAATTCTATTTTTCTGAGGTACATTTTGTTTTATTTTACTCCACAACATATCACAGGGAAATATTGTACTTTTTTCTATTACATATATGTGCAACCCTGTTCCCGCACAACTAAACTGCATTATGTTTCTGTAAGAAATTGTATCTTATTTCCCCTAGGTTACATTGGTTATTTCTAATCATCCCACCTTCTCTTGCTTACTTTCTTGCAATCCCCTCAAAGATTTATTAATCTAGCTGTCGGCTTTATTATTTTTCAGTGAATATTTTTGTCTGAGAAGCGAGGTGGTTTGCAGAAAGTAATCCCTCAGAAATATATTACTTACAGCAATGTACTTGGGAATGCAGTTTAGTATTGTGGGAATGTAACTTTTAGAAGAAGGGGATGTGACAGTTGCAGTTTATTTTCAGATTTAAATCATACGATAAACTGTCTTGTGACCTCCAAGTCCCCAAAACAGAGCTTGACCTCGAGCTGCTGCAACAGTGAAATCAGCATTGGTGCATCAACAACAAAGTGTTGGATATAGTTATAATATCTCAGTCACTTGGGACATTTTACAACAGAATGATTACTTCTGATCTGCTGATAATAGCTTTGCACTTTTGGTGCATGACATTCACACCAAACAGCTCAGGTGATCAAACTGTCTTTGATCCACAAGAGAAACGAAAGAAACCTTTATGATCAACTTGTTGTTTCCACACTATAGACTGTCTCATCTGTCAATCTTCATGTTTTCATAGCATCAAATAACAAATTAAAACTGAACGTAACAGGGAAACAAGCTCTTAAACAAACATCAGTCTTATAAGAACGACCTAAATTGACAGAAACTATCTTTGAAAAAAGTATTTGACTATCCACTAATAGGGAAGGTGGGGTTTATGGCGTATCCTGCGGCCAGCCACTAGGGAGCAATCAAGACCCTGTGGAACAGTCATGTCATCTTCTTTATATAGAGTCTACATTGCAGAGTAATGGCAAGTGATCAAAGGTCAGAGACTTAAGAGGTCAAAGGTCACCTCCCCTGTTGTTTTGAACCAACCAGTGAAAGAGGCTTTTGTTTTCCACATGTTTCATCTAATGACGTGTCAGCCCGGTGACAGCATTTGATCTGGTATCAGACTATTTCACAGTTTCCCTGTGAGTCTTGCATCATTGTTAAAGAAACACAAGTGTTTCATGTGTGCTGCTGCACTCAACAATTATTCTGGACGTTATGATTATGTTTCAAATGCACTTACTGTAGAGCTGGAGGCAGAGGAGGAAATCCCTCATCTCTTTCATTTCAACACGACATCTCCTGTGGCTTCTCGTGTTATTCTGCACAAGCTGCTAAAAGTGGTCATTTCTGATCGGGTTCTTTGTATTTTTATTTTTCAATCCAGTAAAGCACATCAAAAGTTTAAATTCATTTGTATCTAATCAGATTCTTTCAAAGTTAGGAGCAGTTAATAAATATAAGGGCACCTCTGAGCCCACTGCCATTTTATCCTTGATCTCTTAAAAAGAGAAAAACACCACTGGTTTGTGCCGTTGAGAAATAAGAACACAAATAACAAGCTCCCTTTCCCAAGAGTATTTTCAGCCAGAGAGCAAAATAAATTACTGAATATTCACACTCTCTCTTTGGAGATGTGACCTAGTAGGATATAATGAACAGTGATTAAGTAAGCTCTATTTACCTTCATTTTTTATGCTATAATACTGGTCCTCTAGGGAGGAAACACGTCCTCTGAATTTGAGCCATCTTCAGTATTTATAGTGAGCCGGGGGCTTTGGCAGCTGAAACCAAACATGGTCATCTTCTCAAGCAGGAGGTCACAAACACAGAAACTCAGAAATACACAGCAGATCCTTCAAGATCCATACAGAACTCTCCTTTTACAAGTTTGTCCTTATCACAATGCTCATGTGGTGCATTGGAGTCAGGAAGTAATGGCACCAGTCTGAGAAAGATTGTGGCTCAACCATCTGCGAGCTGCTGTATCGAGTTCCTGATCAAACTGTAAAGTGGAAAAACACACATTGACTCAATCAATGGAGTGATGCAACACAGGGCCTGCTGCAGCAATCACCATTATCTACATCAACATCATCTGGTCTTCATCAGGGCTGCAATTCACAGTTTAGTTTTACTTTAAAAATATAATCATATATAATAATCTCTATAATAATATCATACGATGTAAAGTTCAGTACTCCTGCACAGTATTTTGCTCATTTAGCTAACTTTTATTGTAACACCTTTATAGATAATATAGCATGCTGCAGTAGATGTTCATCTTAGGAGGGAGTTGTGTGTACTACACGCACCAGCATTTACATGTTAGTTGGCCATTCGTCACTATTTTCACATCATTGCCAGATTTCCTCTCTGTGACGCCCCCTGTTGATCCTTTAGTGTCAGTGTTTATCTGTAAATATCAGTAACATATAAGGTTGGCTGCTTTAATTTTTCAGATCAGATGTGCTTGATATCGACTTAACTTATGTTTTCTTTTTTAATCCCAGTGCTGTTTATCTGTGCGGTGCTGTTAACTGAAAATTAATGACATTTTTCTCTCTGTTGTTGTTTCCCATTACATTACGTTGCTATCATGCTGTTGTTTTACATTGCGATGAAATTTGAAAACTCATGTTCGGCAGTTAAATTGGTTTCATTCGTATCTTAAATATTAATTCCCTCTTGCTTGTTTCTAATGTTTTGGGCTTCTACACACACACAGCAGGTGTTGTTGAAAATAACATTGCATCCTATATTGGCTTTACTGCTATAAAACTGCCTGCACATGGCTCATTCACAAAAGTCTATCTCTGTAATATTGGCTTCACGTGGAGCTCAATGGCTTTTGTCACATTTTCTCAGCGCACTTCATATTCAGCTGAGCATTACAGAATTGTTTCCAGTGGATTTATGTGACAGCTCGCTTTACTATTCTTCATATCAGCATATCGCTTAAATCGTAACTGCTGAGCTCCTGTTTCTACGTTCAGCCCCACCACAACTCATACCCGCGGTAATTTGCTGCTTATCAGTTCAACGTCTCATACAATGTTGTCTGCTCAAAATATTGTGTATATGTGAGTTATGAATAATTCAGATGAGGTGTCTTCACCTGCTTCCCCACATGGGTGGTTGTTTAGATTTGTCCCTTTGACTTTATTTGAAGGTATATTTAGAGCCAGGGTTAGAAAGGTTAGCAAGATCAGCCCTCACTTTGATAATATGTCACTGATACCTTCCACCCCCTCCCATCGACCTTCTCATCAAAGTTATGGCCCCAAAACACATGAAAGTTCACGGACCGACATCTGCTATGCCGACTTTTCCATGAATTGCTCGCTAACCTTTGGCTATTGTCCATGTGTCAGTGGTGTCTGTCTCTCCACCTTTTAAAGACTCTGGCCACAGACACCAACATTTTTCTTTTTTTTTTTCCTTCACAGGATTTAATTTATTGAGGATTTCAACATA